CCTGCGCTGGACCCCTCGTTAAGCTCATGGTCGGCTCCGGTTGGAAGTGGTGCCCCGCGAGGGCTTCTGCTGGCTTCGTGTCATTTGAATTGATGGTCGAGGGAACCAAAGGGCTTCGGGGTTGCTTTCTGAACGGTGCACACGATGTGCGTAATTTAACTATGAACACGGGGCCTTGTCGTTACAGGCTGCCTGCTAGTGGTGGTTCACATTTTAAGTAGCCGGTGGGAAATGCTTTTCTAAGCCAGGCTAGAAAGTGGAGCAGCTCTCATTTGGGGATTGGTAGAATTGGATTTGATGAGAGAGTGTGGAGTCAATTGAGTTGTAGATTTGAATGTTTTCATATATAAATGTAGATTATGCTATGTTAATACGTTATGTTTTGTCATTTACTCATAAGTAGTATATTTATATATATAAGTATAAACATTTACCAGTGACACATTTTATGAATATGCATACATACGCGTTTTTACCAATAGTCTTAAGGTCTGTAGCACTTATTTAAAACCTAATTAATTATATGTTGACTATATATCATACTATGAATTTTCTCTGTGCTTGCCTGATTCTTCAACTATCTTAAGTCTCTTGAGGGCAAGGACCATGTATGTATTAATTTAAGCTTCTTGGATTGACTGAGTCAACAAACAATTTCAGGATTTTCTGATGCTACTGATACTAAATAAATATTTGTTGTATTAACAAATTTATGTCAGCCATAAACTAGAAAACTCCCACCTGAATTAAGATTATACCTGTGATTTTGTTTGTAGCATCATGGATAGACCTGATAAACCATATTTGCCCCTCTCGTGTTGTTGCTTAGAGTTTCCATAAATCATATTATCAATGCAATGGGTGTATGTACTTATATACTTAGCCTTAATACTTCTCAAGTATAAATTTTTATTGAGATAATAGTTGATTCATGTGAAGTTGTAAGAGATAATAGACCACTGTAAGCCGGATTCGGTGGCTCAGCCTGTAATCCCGCGCCTTTGGGAGGCTGAGGTGAGTGGATAGGCTGAGGTGAGTGGATTGAGACCCGCCTGTGCAACTTGGCGAGACCTCATCTCTACAATAAAAAATCAAAAAATTAGCCGGACGTGGTAGTGCGCGCCTGTAGTTCCGGCTACTTGGAAGGCTGAGGCAGAAGGATCGCTGGAGCCCAGCAGGTCGAGGCTGTGGTGGCCGGGAGCGGCCACTGACCGCACTCCAGTCTGGGCGACAGAGTGAGACTCCAAATCAAAAAAAAAAAATAGACCACTATATTTAAACCCCTGAATTGAACAGTTGGATATTTTGTTTGTGTGTTTCTATTTTGGTCCTTCAAAAGGTTACAAAGCTTAGAAATTTAGTCCTTGCTTTTTCCTTTCATTTAATATTTTGGTAAATAAAATGGGGAGAAACTATCATAATTATCTCTCATACACAAAAATATACATATACATGTGAACTGTATACATATATAGCTATACTAGTTTTTCCCCCTTATTTTCCTGACCAAAATATCTCAAGCGAAAAAAGCAAAACTTAATTTCTTGGTATTGTTACCTTTTGGAGAACTTAACTGCTTACTTTTTTGATATGGTAAATATATAGCTGTAGCCTTATTACTCAAAGTGTAATTTGAGGACTAGTAGCATCAAATTTGCAGAGTTGTGCAGCCTTCACCATAGTCAATTGTAGAACATTTTCCATCACCCTTTAACTGTTTAATACTCCCAGCCCTAGGCAACCACTTATCTGTTTTCTGCCTCTATAGATTTATCTGTCCTGGAAATTTTGGGTAAATGGAATTATATAATACGTGATCTTTTGTAACTGGCATTTTTCACTTTGTATGCATTAGTAGTTCATTCCTTTTTACAGCCAAATATTCCATTGTATGGTTGTACCACATTTTTCCATTCATCAGTTGATGGACATTTGGGTTGTTTCTACCTTTTAGCAATTATGAATAGTAGTTATATGAACATTCATGTGCAAGTTTTTGTGTGAACATGTTTTCTTTCTTTTTTTTTTTTTTTTTTGAGTTGGAGTCTCACTCTGTCGCCCAGACTGGAGTGCAGTGCTCCCGGCCACCGCAGCCTCGACCTGCTGGGCTCCGGCGATCCTTCCGCCTCAGCCTTCCGAGTAGCCGGAATTACAGGCGCGCGCTACCACATCCAGCTGATTTTTTGATTTATTGTCGAAATGAGGTCTCGCTGCCCAGGCGGGTCTGGAACCCGCGGGCTCAGGCAATCCACTCACCTCAGCCTCCCAAAGCACAGGATTATAGGCTGAGCCACCAAGCCTGGTTGTAACTGTTCTTAATATATTCTAGATACAAGTTCCTTATCAGATATATGGTTTGCAAATATATTCTGACATACTCTCATAAGAGTCTTCTAATCTGCCTCCTGTCATGTGCTCCTCTAATCCACTGAGCAGCCAAAAAGCTCTTAACTAGACAAAATTCTGATGATGTTATTTCTAGCTTGGACTGCTAAAATAGTTCTCCATTGCCTACAAGAAGTGAAAACTGTTTCACATAATATATAACCATTCCACATACATTTCTTTGTTTTTTTGTTTGTTTGTTTGTTTTTGAGTTGGAGTCTCACTCTGTCGCCCAGACTGGAGTGCAGTGGCCGCTCCCGGCCACCACAGCCTCGGACTGCTGGGCTCCGGCAATCCTTCCACCTCAGCCTTCCAAGTAGCCGGAATTACAGGCATGCGCTACCACGCCCGGCTGATTTTTTTGATTTATTGTATAGATGAGGTCTCGCCGCCCAGGTGGGTCTCGAACCCACGGGCTCGGGCAGTCCACTCACCTCAGCCTCCCAAAGACGCGGGATTACAGGCTGAGCCACCAAGCCCGGCAAACATACATTTCTTTATCATTATCTTTGTTCATTGTCTAGAGCAAAATCACTCTTTCTGGAATAGCCTTGGTGGGCAGTTTAACAACTCCTAGCTTTTGTTTTGATGTCCTCCCTTTTTTTCTGCACCCCTTCTTCCTGCCTGCCCCTCCCTCACCTGGCAAAAACTCACGTTTCCAAATGTAGCCTAATAATTATCTTTTTTCTTTTTCTTTTTTTTTTTAAGTTGGAGTCTCGCTCTGTCACCCAGGCTGGAGTACAGTGGCATGATCAGGGCTTCCTGCAGCCTTGACCTCCTGGGCACAGGCGATCCTTCTTCCTCAGCCTCCCAAGTAGCTGGGACTACAGGCATGTACTACTACACTCAGCTAATTTTTTTCTTTATTTTTTTGTAGAGACGAGAGTTCTTGCTATGTTGCTCAGGCTGGTGTCGCATTCTTGGACTCAGGCATTGCTCCTGCCTCTGCCCCCAAAACATTAGGATTACAGGTGTCAGCCACTGCACCTGGCCAACAGTTATTTTTTTGTGTGTATCCTTTCATACCTTTCTCCCCTGCCCTCTTTTTCTCTGGTTTAAATGACCTAATCACTTCTTTGCTATACATATCACTTACAACATTGTTATTACATACCTTTATCATATTTGATTATCAGATCTTAACCTCGTCAGAACAGAGACTGTCTTCATTCATTTTTAAATCCATGTAAGAAAATATCTGGCATATAGAAGTACCCAGTAAATGTATGTTGAACAAATAAAGGCATATTTGTTAAAATATCTGTAGATTTGATCTTGACATATTATTTCCTTTTTATAGATATGCAGTAGATGATGTTCCCTTCTCAATCCCTGCCGCCTCTGAAATTGCTGACCTTAGTAACATCATCAATAAACTGCTGAAGGACAAAAATGGTAGGTATATATATATTCAGGGGAGGGCACAGTGTCACTAACTAAAATGCATTATGTTTCTGTTTCTTTTTTTGGCTTCATTTTATAATACTGTATAAGTTATCAATGATAACATGCAGGTTTCTCTACTGGAAGATACTTTGAAAGAAAAGTTTTCAGAAAAAATTATATCTGTTTAATCTGCTTTAAAGGCAATATGGAAATAAGAATAATGAATTTAGTATAATAGTTGTGATATAGAGATATCAAGGTATTGTGATTGTGCTGTGGAGGGCAGGTTATGTAGACATAAAGCAAGCATGGTGCTTACGTCCCACTTGCTAATGAAGCACAAAGCAAAATGACAATATCAGTATTTGAATATTTGTTTTATGTAATAACAACATGCCAATATTAATGCTAGTATTTTATTGTGTTCAGAATTTATAAAAAGTATAACAAAACATAAGAATATCAGGTAAACATTTATAAAGATACAATTATTAAACATATACTATTGTACTAGTATAAATTATTTACCCATTAGGTTAGTATAAGCAATGTATATAAACTATAAAATATAGAGGAAATAAGGTTGGTCATAAGGTGATAATTGTTGAAGTTGGGCGATAGGTATGTGGAGGTTTATTATATTATTCTCTACTTTTATAGATGTTTGAAATTTTTTATAATAAAATGTTTTTAAAAAAACAACTAAATAAAATAGAGAAAATTTAGACATGAAATACTGAAAATAATATAAAGTGTGATCTCTACAGACAAAATTTGTCAATGTAGTCACTATTTAGAATCAAGTGTATTTTTGTGAGTCAGAGGCGAGAGGATTGCCTGAATCTAGGGGTTCGAGACCAACCTGGGCAACTTGGCGATACCTCATCTCTACAGTAAATCATGAAATTAGCCGGGTGTGGTGGCACGTGCCTGTGGTTCCAGCTACTTGGAAGTCTAAGGCAGAAGGATCGCCTAAGTCCAACAAGTCGAAGCTGCAATGGCTGTGAGCGTGTCATTGCATTCCAGTCTGGGTGACAGAGTGAGACTTCTACTCAAAAAAAAAGAATCAAGTGTGTATTTTTTTTTTTTTTGAGTTGAGTCTCACTCTTGTTGCCCAGGCTGAAGTATAGTGACATGCTCATGGCCACTGCAGCCTCGACCTGCTAGGCTCAGGTGATCCTTCCGCCTCAGCCTTGCAAGTAGCTGGAACTACAGACGCACACCACCGCACCTGGCTAGAAGAATCAAGTATATATATATATATATTTTTTGAGTTGGAGTCTCACTCTGTCGCCCAGACTGGAGTGCAGTGGCCGCTCCCGGCCACCGCAGCCTCGACCTACTGGGCTCCGGCGATCCTTCCGCCTCAGCCTTCCGAGTAGCTGGAATTACAGGTATGCGCTACCACGCCCAGCTGATTTTTTGATTTATTGTAGAGATGAGGTCTCGCTGCCCAGGCGGGTCTCTAACCCGCGGGCTTAGGCAATCCACTCACCTCAGCCTCCCAAAGGTGCGGGATTACAGGCTGAGCCACCGAGCCCGGCTTTCAAGTGTATTTTTGTATAAATATTTTCAGTGCTGCAAAACTCTTCTGAGTCTATCCTAGCTAGAGGAATAGGAGGTGAGAGTTATAAACTAATCCCTAATATTTTCCCCTTCATCTTCAGCCAATATCAAAACTTTTTTGTGAAGCTAGAGATTTTTTTTTTCCTTTTTTGAGTCGGAGTCTCACTCTGTCATCTGGGCTGGAGTGCAATGGCACGCTCACAGCCACTTCCGCCTCGACCTGCTGCTGGGCTCAGGCAATCCTTCCACCTCAGCCTTCTAAGTAGAGATGTTTTTATTTAGCTGGGATCTCACTCTGTTGCCCAGGCTGGAGTGCAGTGGCATGATCACGATTCACTACAGCCTTGACCTCCTGGGCTGAAGCAATCCTTCCTCCTCTGCCTCCTGAGTAGCTGGTACTACAGGTGTGCACCATTATGCCTGACTATTTTTATTTTTTGTAGAGACATAGTCTTGCTATATTGCTAAGGCTGGTTTCAAGTAATCCTCCACCTTGGCTTCCCAAAGTGCTGGGATTGTAGGCATGAGCCACCACGCCTAGCCAGAGATGATGTTTTTGAACAACTTTTGGAGAAAAGGTCTACAATCTTTTTACTGCTAGCAAGCTGTAGTTTTAAAAAAAATTTTTTTTATTTATTTATTTATTTTGAGTCGGAGTCTCACTCTGTAGCCCAGGCTGGAGTGCAGTGGCATGCTTACTGCAGCCTCGACCTGCTGGGCTCAGGCCATCCTTCCACCTCAGCCTTCCAAGTAGCTGGAACTACAATTGTGAGTCACCACACCTGGTTAATTTTTGGTTTATTGTATAGAAAAGGTCTCGCCAAGTTGACCAGGCTGGTCTTGAACCCATGGGCTCAGACAATCCTCTCACCTCAGCCTCCCAAAGTTCTGGGATTATAGGCATGAGCCACCATGCCTGGCTCAAGCTGCAGTTCTTGATTCACAGATATTCACATAGCTTTCCTATTGGTCTTTGTCTTTACTTTCATCATGAATGTATAGAGATTCTGATGTATAGTTACTTTTATAAATTTTAAAACTCTTATATATTCTACTTCTTGAAGAAGTCTTTGAATTAGCATAGGAATTATTCTTTTATTTATTTTTAGAATTATTCTTGCAATAGAAGCTTTGTGATCCCAGTGTGTGGTTGTTGTTACCTATACAGTTGTATATTTTTCTAAACTTGAGAGTCAACATTTATTTGTCTTTTGGTATAGACTGCTACCATTTTGTAACTCCAAATGAAATGATGGATACAAATATGATTGTGACTATCAATAGCTGCCAAAACTATTAATGAGGTAAATGACTGATAGAGAACACTATGGTGGAGGGGATCAAACTGACATCATCTGAGGCCAAAAATAGATCTTAACATCTTAAAAGAGACACAAGTATCTCCATCTTGACATAATGCAGTAGGAAACACACAGTACTGCCTGTGAATATTCTTGTAAAAAGAAATTTTTTTTTCAAGTTAGTGTCTCACTCTGTTGCCCAGGCTGGAGAGCCGTGGTACGCTCATGGCTACCACAGCCTCAACCTGCTGGGCTCAGGCGATCCTTCTGCCTCAGCCTTCCAAGTAGCTGTAACTACAGGCATGTGCCACCATGCCTGGCTAATTTTTTCATTTATTGTAGAGATGAGGTCTTACCGAGTCGCCCAGACTGATCTTGAACCTTTGAGCTCGGGCAGTCCTCTCACCTCTGCCTTCCAAAGTGCTGGGATTATAGGCCACCGCCCCCAGCCTAAAAAATGTTCTTTTTAATCCTGAAATTTAATCAAGCACTTATATTTGACTGGTTTATAGGATGTATGTTTGTTAAAGGACACCTTGGAGAAACAATCAGCCAAACCCAGAATGTAGGAAATATAAGACAGATGACCCACTTTTCCAACAAATGTATAGCACTCAGAAATAGGAGGGCTAACTGTTAAAGATTAAAAGAAATACATTAATCAAATATAATGTATGGACTTTGGATGCTGATTTTTGTTTGTTTGTTTGTTTTGTTTTTATTTTTGTTTTTGTTTTTGAGTTGGAGTCTCACTCGGTCGCCCAGACTGGAGTGCAGTGGCCGCTCCCGGCCACCGCAGCCTC